GGACTGCAAGGAGATCCAACCAGTCCATCCTAAAGGAGATCAGTCCTGGGTGTTCATTGGAAGGACTGATGCTGAAGCTGAAACTCCAATACTTTGGCCACCTGATGGGAAGAGCTGACTCACTGGAAAAGACCCTGATGCTGAGAGGGACTGGAAGCAGGAGGAGAAGGGGACGACAGAGGATGAGATGGCTGGATGGCATCACCGGGTCTAGGGACATGAGTTTGGGTGGACTCTGGGAGTTGGTGATGGACAGGGAGGCCTAGCGTGCTGCGGTTCATGGGGTGGCAAAGAGTCAATAATGACTGAGTGATTGAACTGCAGTGAACACAATGTTGCAAATCAACTGTACTTCAATTAAGAGAAAAGAATTTTGCAGAGTGTAGGGCATTACATAATAGAAAGATGCAAGGTTTCTTTTAAAAACAGTTAATAATCAAGGCAACAAAGTCAAAACAAAATTAATCTCCCCTGTACAATAGAGCATCTGGGAGTAACAAGTATGGCTCAGTGGGCCATATGCCCTGTAATGAGCACCACACATTCTTCTAAATCTCCACAAGTCTAGCAAAGAGAGACGCGGTGTCACAATGTCATGGATGGAGAAATTAAGTGGCAGATGTGGGTTTTAAACCCTGACCCACTGGAAAATAAACTGGAATGTGTTGTTTTCTCTCTTTCACTTCCCATCTATTTTCAATAGCTAAGTTTTTTCAACACTCGCAATGAGCAGTTATTCTTTAATTGAACCCTTGCAAATCTATGAAGCAGACAGTCCCACTACACTTGCTCAGGGGCTTCTTGGGGTCGCTCTGCCCGGAGCATTAACCCTCCTCTAAGAGTTTCCCCAGTAAGATTCCAAAACCTTCTTGAGTAAACCTAAGATTAAAGCAGTGGGGGTGTCCGTGGGCTATGTCCCCACATTCAGGTCAACTGAGACACTAAGATGGCCCTCATCAGAAAGTCTCTAAATGGATCGGGGTGGGATGAGAAGTTCCCACTCTCTTCAGTTCCTTCTTACCAGCATTCTTTCAGCTTTTGTGTGAAGAGGGGTATTATATCATGGCTTCGATCTGACTTTCTACCAAAGAGAAAAAAGCAATGGGAAGCTGGCCTCTCTCATGGGGACTATACCTCCATTCCAGAGCAATTCTGATCATTTTCATTCTTGTCCTACAACTGAATGCCTTTTCCACTCACAATCAATAGAAAAAAAAAATAGAGAGATATTAAGTTAAATATCATTATAACTAATTGTAATATTTAAAAGCATGGCTGATATGCAAAGGCTTATAACAGCTAAAAAAATTAAAACTCATGTGTTCTGGATTTGATACATTGACAAATGATATATAGGAAGCCAGTATATAAACAAAAAGAAAAACTGTGGCATATTCAGAAAATAAGGTGTAGATAGACTACAACAATGAGTTAATAAACTAAGCATATAATACTTTCAATTCAATGCATTTAAACCTTTTGTTCCTCTTCATTAAAAGGCAAATATTTCTAAGGCTTTCATATTCATTCATCCATGACTTTTGTTTTATTTTAAGCTCCCAGTGCATTTCATTTTAACACCTGGACATGATTTTAATTCAATTGCACAGCATTAAGCTAGGCACCCAAGAATATCACCCACAGTGAAATTATATTCAGATTCACACTTGGTCTTCACCTGCCAGTTCACAATAAAGGAAATCTGATGGGGACCTAAACGAAAGGATGGACTGCACTTATCCTCTCAAGCTTTATTACTTTGTATTAGCTGATAAAAATGAAATCTTATGTGACTCTTTACTTAGCACAGCCAGATATATTACTGTTTAGTATTTTCTCAGAGATGATATCTAAAGGCTAGTCCCATGAATCACAATGAAAATGTAAGGTGGACAAAAATAACCAAGAAATGAATTATAATTACCAAATACAGTCCTAGCTGGAACTGATTCCTTATTTATCCAGAACGAAACTTGAGAAAGAATTACTGTCATAATACAGGGAATGTATGTTTGAATCATAAAATAACCCATCTTCCGTCTGAGGTGAAAGTAAACCGTCATAACAACATATTCACCTGTGAATGAAGCATGAGGAAAATTGTTATATTAATAGGTTCTGTGAACAAACATTCAATGGTTTTACAATCATATTTCAAAATAACAAACAGTATTCTAGGCAAAGAAAGTACCTGCTCTGCATGAGAGCACCAGCATTGAGAAGTATGGAGTTCCCAACGAGGGTGAAACAATACTAAGCATCATTACACAGAAGAGGATTTCCGTTGTTACATCGTGATTAAGCAATTTAGTAAGTTGGGCTATAATCTTAGAAAAATTCTTGCAGTGCTTTCTATTTTAAAGATCTAACACTGCAAAAGCAATTAGACTTCATTTTCCGCATTTTTAAGAGCAGAATTTAGTTAGCTTTTATGGAAAATCACTAGAAAAAAACATGAAAATACACACACCTGTATGAAAATATAAAGCCTCATTTTAGAAAGAATTGTAACACACAGCTCTACATTATATATACATATATTCTTAGAGAAAGGTTGCCTTATTGTCTTAGTTTCAGGAAAAAACTTTCTAAATGTGATATATGTGAAAAAAAATATAAAATACATATAGATCCATCCATAACATCCCTGAGTTCAGGTATGTTTTATTAGCATTTAGACAAAAACCTGAAAAAGACAGTAAGTAAATATATCCTAAGATTTATGGTAGCTCTTGATAATATTTTTAATATTACATCTGAAAGTAACATATTAAGAAAGTAACTCAGGAAGCAGTAGTCTTATTCTCAGACCGAAGACTCAAATCTTCCCAAAACATATTTTTAATACCACTTACAGGCTGGTATTTAAGTGTTTTCAAAAAATATTTTCCTGGTGATACATATACATAAGGAATAATTTAATGACAAGCAATAATCAGCTATTTTTCTCCCATTGAGTGTGACAAAAACTAAGTCCTATGATTCTTTCCATTCACATCCCCAAAACAAATACAGACCAAGGATCCTCAATAATAATCATTCATCTACTCACATGACAGCTTTAATATATGCCCGTAACATATTTTATAATTAAATTTTATATTTTGCCTTTAGTTTTGAAAAGAAGATAGAGTAGCACCACAAAAATTGGGCAAGATGAAAAAAAACAGATTTGGGGAAAGCACTGAAAAACAGAGAAAATTCAGTGTTCAAAAAAATCAATGATCAGATTTCCTACCTGCGAATTCTGTTGAAAATAGCTTTGATATATTTGATCATTGACTTTTTCTGAAAAAGAAAACCAGTTCATTTCTTGCATCTCACCAACTCAGAATTTATTTTAGACTAAAACAAGATTTAAATATAAATAAAGAGAAATCTCAACTATGAGCTATGCATCAACTCTATTTCTGGAAGCTTTTAGCTGGACCCTGAAAACACAGGATATTTCAATGAAGCAGCTAGTGCCAGGTTGCATATTGGTTTAAATTATTGAATGTCTCACCCGTGATGGATTTGATAGTTTCACTTGATACGGTTTGCCCAATCAAGTCATACTGAACTAAGCTGGAAGACTCCTTTGGAACTTCTACCGATTTCTCAGGACCTTTTGTCCAGGTATAAATCATCTCGCTCTTCGGATAGGCATCTGGAGGACAGCAGAGAAGGCGGTGAGGTCAGGGCCCCTTTCCATCAGCACTGATAGCCAATGATTCAGAATATTACACATGTTCAAGAAGCACGGAATAAATGAAGACAAGTATCATTATGATTTATTCAAACATGTTTAAGATTGAGAAAACTGTAGAGATAAAATAAGCAGTCTTGCAACTGGGCACATCTCTCATTTTTATGCCAAAGGTTTACAGGAGGAGAGACTAAAACGAAGGCAACTAAAATGCGATCTATGCATCAGTGCCCTTGGATATGTTTCCATACTAATAGGATAAGCAAGTGAAAAGGAGAAATAATAACCCCCACCCAAAGTACTGTCCAACTGCTATTCCTTTCCCTTCTAACTCACTTCTAATACTTGACTAATATTGACATCTTCCTTCCTCATGCAGCTCTCTCAAACACCAGATGCTGCCTATAATAATATGACAACGAACACAAAAAGCAAATCTGACTTTGGAAGCGCTCTCCATGGGTCACCTATTCCAGACTCTGCCTCTGGGCAATACCCATGCTGTTTGGGAACCATTCTGCGGGTGACAACTGGCTATGCAGTTTGTAGAGCTCTCCAGGGAACACACTTACACAACCAATTCCACTACCTTTAAACTCTCACAATCAGAACATTTTCCCTTCCATCTTCAGCAAATCCCTCCCAGCGGCAATTCAAGCCCATTTTCTGTTATTTGGTGATCAGTGCACATGCAGGCCAGCTGCTTGCTTACCAGCCTCCCCAGAACAGACAGCTTGGCTCACACATGGATGAGTTCAAAAGAACCAGGATGAATTGTGTGCTGCCCTCTGCAAACCTTCCTAAAATGGCCAGAGCACAGTGGGCCCTCAGTGAAAATGTTTAATTCTACGAAAGGGGTTGGTAATAGGGAGACCATCTCTACAAAAGACTGCAAAACGAGCTATACGGCTTGCAGTGTCATTTAGTGGTGTGCAATCAGGTCTAAAGGGTTATCTTCTGAAGTATATTCATGCTTAAACCATGCATTTAAAGTCTCAGAATGCTATGACCCTGTCCATGATGTTTTAAGTCAGGTATCCTTTCTGTCCACGTATTTTTCTGTTTTTATCTTTTCTCATCAAATCACTGGTTGGAGAGCAAAGGACTCACTCTAGTTTCAAGTTAACCCAACTTGAATGTTGTGATTACTGAGGGTTATAAAAAGAATGGTGACTGCCAAGCCTCATTAAGTTAAGCAATAAGCAATAATAACAGCAGGCGACAGTTTCACAATCATTGTGACTGGGAATCTGAAGCAATAGTAAAAGTCAGCATCTATTTTTGGTAGATTCTGATTAAGTCAAATATTTGAGGCAGACGTGAGAAGAGGCAAGCACATTTGCTGCCGTCTCTGAGAGGGGAGCTCGGGTAAAAGAGACTCCTATTCTGTCCTACCCATTCATTTCATCCTTTTGCCTTAACGACCACAAAATATCCCAAATCCATGTCTTACACCTCCTCTAATCTAGTCTAAGTCACCACCATCTGTCTATTGAGACACACAGGCTCCAGCTCTTCTGTTTCTACAATCCATTCTCTCTAGAATGAACAGAAAGCGTGATCTTACTGGGGCTAGAAGTGAAAACTATTTGTACTATAATAATTTAAATTTCACTCAAGACAGCTCTAATCTAGGTAAAGCCCTTTCTCAACTACCCTTAGTAAAACCTTCCAAAGGCATCCAATAGCACTTAGAATAATATCCAAACTAACTAAGTAGTCTACAAGGTGCTATACTATCTTGTTCTGCCCACATATCAGACCACCCCTCCTAATGTGTGTTGGTCATGCCTCAGCCATTTTCATACTAACAGCGCTTCTTATGTTATTCTAACCCAGGTCATGTCAGGAAGCCCTGAACATTCCTTTGCTTTTTTCAAGTCTGCCATAAAGGTCTCTGCTTGTAACAGAAGCTGTTAAACTTAACAAATGAGAAAAAATCATTTACTCTTTCTCTGATACGCTACCAACACAGGAGTTCTGCTGCTGCTGCCGCCGGTCGCTTCAGTCGTGTCCGACTCTGTGCGACCCCAGGCTCTGCCGTCCCTGGGATTCTCCAGGCAAGAACGCTGCGTGGTCCCTAAACTTCACCACTGATCACCAACCTATTAACCAAGACTCCTACCTAGGCTTTCTAGGCAGCAAACAGAAATAATTTTTGCTTCTGGTGAGGGAAAAGGAGTTGTTTTTACCTCTTAATTTAAATATATTAGGTAATAAACTGTCTCCTAAAGTCAGACCTTGACAAGTCATTGCCATGGGCAACGATTTAAATGTTAGACTATGGAAACTCATGAACATTCGAAAACATCAGCTTGCATGAGGTAATCATAAGTCCTAACCGCAATCTGATTGTAACTTACAGCTCCCAAATTTCAAAGGGCAGGCATGGCCATCCATGGGGAAGTCCACCAATCTCATGGGACATTCTGCACTTATGGTGAGTCTATGATCGAAAAAAGGCAATTAAATAAAATCAGAACTTTAAAAAAAATAATTATATAGATTCCTCAATGAGGAAGAAGGAAGAAAGGAAGGAAAAAAGAAAGACGGGAAGGAAGGAAGGGAAGAAAGAAAAAACAGTTAAAAAATTTAAAAAATGACTACCTCATTGTGTATAAAATTGTGCCATTTCTCATAATTCTAAAAAGCTTATTTGGAGCTGTCATATTATGTGAGACAGATTTCTTTCCATTCCTGAAGAAAGTATCAGGAGTCCATACTTTTGTTACCATCATATTGTTCAATCTCAAAATTTCAATGGGGCCATCATATTTTAGTCTTTTGTCAATCCATGTCTGTCTGAAGAACACATCCATTGTGTATTCCTAGGGAAGTTAGTTTGTGACATATTCAATCACAGATGATTACACATAAATATGCAGAAAAATGCATTAAATTCTAGATTTGCCCTCAGAAAAGACTACCCCAGATAAAAACAAACAGGAGCAAATTTTTTTTAAAAATCAACGGAGCAAAAGGAGTGTCAGCAATTAAAGCATATTATGTCCATCTGATATGTTAATCTACATTTGTTAGATAAATAAATTATCATACATATTAATCATTCAAGAATAATTACTCTAATTTAATAAAACTGCCAGCCACCAGGTAATTACAGTTGTACTTTGTTTTAAATCAAGTGGCAAAATTAGTTAATGTGTAACAAATAACATTGCATAATTAATCATAAAATTGTAGGCATCTCTTTAAGACAAAGTAAAGTATGTAAAAGAGAAATCTTATATCCACAGAATTTATTAATGTTCATCTAGGGTCATTTATTTGACCTGGAAACTGAAAATATTTAATATTAGAAAGAAAAACTGAATTTATCCTGACCAGGGCTTGATGTTCTACGGAAGTTCTATGGGAGGACGGGTGGTAAGCAAGTGGGCCAACAAGGAATTCTAAATGCAATTAGGACTAAATATAGTTTCAGACCAAAACTAACTACACTCTCTAATTTTCTCCTTCTCGATAATTTTCTAAGGGAAAAAATATTACATACAACATTGTATTGTGGGGAAAGAACGTTCTTTTCTTTGTTGAGAATGACTCCAAACCAGAAAAAAAACCTCAAATATTACAGCTGAAATGCAAATTAAACTGTCTCACTTTTTAAAACTTTTTAGGCTGTTATTTCACTTTGTAGCTCTGTGTAATCGATTATAAGGTAAATGTTAATTGCCCTTTTTTATGCATGTTTTCTCCAAACCTCAAAAAGTACATTTAATTTCCCAAATACCTACCATTTCAACATCAGAAACAGGTCCAAAGCTAGTGACATATATGTCAGTTTTCACTTCTGTAACAGGACCTAGTAGGCATGAATTAAACAAGTGTGAAAAGATAATTACCAATCCTACAGGCAAGGAGGGTTTGATAATTACAAAGTAAAGACAGATAAATCATGTTTTTAGAAGTATCTTAAGTTTTCAGTGAGATTATGCATCTCTCCAAAAAACGTAGACAAAAGAACAACAAACCCAGAAAGCAATATTTACTTACAGGCAAAAAGAAACCCCAAGTACTTACTGCGAATCTTAGCTCTTCAAAGATACATCACCCCCGGGCACTGTCACAACAGGCAGTGCAGGGAACAAAGGCTTTTAGCCTTTGTGATTTTTATTATAGCCCAACATCTGATTGGCTTTTAGTAAAGAAGTGAGCTGTTGAAAAGAGGGAACTTAACCACAAGAGTGAAGTAGAGAAAAATCATAATGGCTGTGAGGAACACATCTTCAGTGAGTTGAGGATATTGGTAAATAAACACAGAAATGATTCAGGTCACTTTTAACAATTGGAAGATCATCCACTGGTAATTAGGATCAAAGACAAGCTCTCCTAAAAGTCAAACCCACGTGTGTTCTGCCATCTATCTGCTGTGTGATCTTGGGCAAGTTACTTAACTACTCAAGAGCAGCAACCTTACCTATCAGATGAGACTATTGACGGGGATCAGATGAAATTTCTCCTCTGAGACCCTGAACACAGTTACACTTCCATGAAAGTATTTATCAAGTTATTAGCTTTTCTTTGCTATTGAGGTTCTTTCCTACATCTAAATAAGCCTGTTTCAGGAACAAGTGTACGGGCGTGTTTGGCAGAAGCACAACGTGGCAGCATCGCGGCAACAGGGCTGACACAGACTTCAGACGGAGGAGACTGCGGCGGTCCACAGCATGCTGCTTAAAATAGGGGATTCTGGAGTTCAAGTTCGGCGCGAATAGTTTCTAATCGCATGGTCTCGGTCAAGTCATATATCATCAGATACAGAGGAGGTTTTAATGGTTATTAGCTGAAATAGTACATGTAAATCACTTGTCCCAGTCTCCAGAACATAACATGCTCAATAATGATATAATTATTACTGTACATAATAGCAATTTTAATTACTAATAAAAAGTTTAAATTGTTGCACTCTTGAACATCATTTCTTATATAATGGTTCATAACACTGGATGGCCAGGGGCTACCTATTCCATACTGGAAAGAACAACATCTGTTATCAAGATGGACTGTTTCTCTTGAATACTGGGTAGGCAATTGGATTTATGCCAAAAAGGACACAGAGCAACTGGAATAGCTTTATGCCCTAGGTCTAAAGTTATCCTCATAAAACAAATGAGAGTATTTCTCCCTCTACATGGTGAAGATTGAACCACAGAAAGAAAAGTAGTCTGAAGAAGAAAGAAAATTCTTTCTTGAATAAGTATCCTAAGAAAAATATATCCTTTGGAAGTACAGTGAGAGAAAAAGCATAAATCTGGCTGATCTGCCATGAGCTTTCATTTTTTAAAAATAACATTTTCTAAAATGTTTAAAATTTTTTTCATTTTTTAAAAAATAACCAAAAAACAGAGAATAAGTGTGAGAAGTTGACTGAATTTTTTATTTGAATGAGAAACTGAAAACAGCAACAACAAAAATATGATAATAATAAGCTTATGAAAGTCAAAGTGCTCCAGGAATAGACAGGTAATCCAGGAAGCGAATGATGTGTCAACCCTAGTAGGTGAAGACTTCATTCAAAGACATTCAAAAGTGAGAGAAATCACTCTGCTAGCTTCTTAAAGACAATTGCTAAAGTGTCAAAAACATTCCTTCAGTGCAAGTCAGGACAAGGAGTGATAAGTCACTCAGAACAATTAAGGCTGAGTAGATCTTGACAATAAGACTGTTTGATGAGAATCTTAAGAAATTCAGTTACTTTGGAGATCCATTTAGGAAACTGGCTCTCAAACTTTAGCTGGATTAGAACCACCCAGAAGGTTTATTAAGGCACACCTTGCTCACGCCTAGCTCAGACTTGCTGTGGAGTAGGCCTAAAGTAGGGCTTGAAAGTTTACATTTCTAACAGTTCCGAGGAGATGCCGTTCACTTTAGTTCACAGAAAATGTTTCTCTGTTTCCTAGAACAGTATTTATTTAGCTAACTGTGTCCTGCAAAATAACACCACAGGTGTTCTATTGACAAGCAGCAAAGGTAGGAAAGGGAAGGATTAAGCCAATCATATTTTTCCTTATACATTTATTTTAAGGTGCGTGGGCTTATGCTAATTCTTAAAGTTATAATGATTCCATGATAATAATGAATCTTTTCAAATTCTGACATAACACTGTTACTTTCTCAATGATTCTTGAAAAATGCTTTATGTTCAGAATTACAACCTTGATTATTTGTGACATTATTCAGTATTTACTTTATACAATCAAAAAGGTCTTTGAGATTGAATGAGAGCCTAAAAATATATAATTGACAGAAAAATGGCATTTGGACACGCATTCACTCAACATTTATTGAGTGACCACCTAATGCACACTATTCCATGCTAGGCTCTGGTGTTACAGTGGTGAATCAGAAGTTTCCTGCCTCAGGCACTTAACATGCTATTGGGGGAGTCAAAACATAAATAATAAGGAAATGAGTTAAATGAAAGAATGCCGTCATTCACAAGAGAAACAAAACAGGCTGGTGATAGTCTGGGAAAGCCACTGTAGATTTTTTAGTCACTCTTCAATGCAGTGGCTTAAGAAATCACTCTGCTAGCTTCTTAAAGACAATTGCTAAAGTGTCAAAAACATTCCTTCAGTGCAAGTCAGGACAAGGAGTGATAAGTCACTCAGAACAATTAAGGCTGAGTAGATCTTGACAATAAGACTGTTTGATGAGAATCTTAAGAAATTCAGTTACTTTGGAGATCCATTTAGGAAACTGGCTCTCAAACTTTAGCTGGATTAGAACCACCCAGAAGGTTTATTAAGGCACACCTTGCTCACGCCTAGCTCAGACTTGCTGTGGAGTAGGCCTAAAGTAGGGCTTGAAAGTTTACATTTCTAACAGTTCCGAGGAGATGCCGTTCACTTTAGTTCACAGAAAATGTTTCTCTGTTTCCTAGAACAGTATTTATTTAGCTAACTGTGTCCTGCAAAATAACACCACAGGTGTTCTATTGACAAGCAGCAAAGGTAGGAAAGGGAAGGATTAAGCCAATCATATTTTTCCTTATACATTTATTTTAAGGTGCGTGGGCTTATGCTAATTCTTAAAGTTATAATGATTCCATGATAATAATGAATCTTTTCAAATTCTGACATAACACTGTTACTTTCTCAATGATTCTTGAAAAATGCTTTATGTTCAGAATTACAACCTTGATTATTTGTGACATTATTCAGTATTTACTTTATACAATCAAAAAGGTCTTTGAGATTGAATGAGAGCCTAAAAATATATAATTGACAGAAAAATGGCATGTGGACACGCATTCACTCAACATTTATTGAGTGACCACCTAATGCACACTATTCCATGCCAGGCTCTGGTGTCACAGTGGTGAATCAGAAGTTTCCTGCCTCAGGCACTTAACATGCTATTGGGGGAGTCAAAACATAAATAATAAGGAAATGAATTAAATGAAAGAATGCCGTCATTCACAAGAGAAACAAAACAGGCTGGTGATAGTCTGGGAAAGCCACTGTAGATTTTTTAGTCACTCTTCAATGCAGTGGCTTATTTTTAATTTCTAAATCCTATTTTTCTATTAAGGTGTAGCTGATTTCCTGTATAGTGGGCTCCCTGGTGCCTCAGATGGTAAAGAATCCACCTGCAACGCAGGAGACCTGGGTTCGATCCATGTTGGGAGGACAGCCTGGAGGAGGACATGGCAACCCGCTCCAGTATTCTTGCCTCGAGAATCCCCGTGGACAGAGGAGCCTGGTGGGCTACAGTCAATGGGGTCGCAAAGAGTCAGACACCACTGAGTGACTCAGCACACAGCACACAGTTGATTTGTAATGTCGCACCAATCTCCAAAGCAGTGACTTTCAAACAGATCTGAAGAATGATCACAAGACATTGGAAAAACTGAGAAAATGCATTTCAGGTAAGAGAATTTCAAGGGGAAAAACTCAGACAGAACACCTCCTTCGCTGTCCATATTCTGAAAGTTGTATCTTTTAAGCAACTTATTTATAACATGTTAAGTTCACTGTTTTAAACTTGTAGAAGTCCCAGTAAAAGAGATTGTTATGAGCTGAATTATATTCTCCTAAACTCACACGTTGAGCATCTAGTACTTCAGAATGTGATTATATTTTAAGATAGGGTCTTTACAAGGGGAATAAACCTAAAACGAGGTCATTAGCCTGGGCCTGAGCTTAATATGACTGGAGTCCTTACAGGAAGAGGAAGTAGAACAGAGATGCCCACAGAAGAAAAGCCATGTGGAGATACAGAGAGAAGACAGCATCTGTAAGCCGAGGGGACAGAGCCTAGAAGAAATCAGCCTGCTGACACATTGATCTTGGGCTTCCAGCTTCTGGAATTGTGAAAAAAGCGAACTTGCTGTTATTGAAGTCGCTCTGTCCAGGGCACTTTGTTATGGCAGCCGAAGCAACTGAATACAGAGACTAATCACTTGTCCTGTCTTTTTCCCCCAAGTTGTCTCCCTCTGATAGGCAGTCTAGCTTTGACTCTGTTTATAGGCTATGGTAAGAAGTTTGATTTGTATTCCTTAATCACTGGGGGACCATTGAAAAGTTTGATGTAAGGAAAATATATGATCTGAATCACTCTGGCATTTGCATGGACACTGAATTATAGGGAAGCAAGAGCAGAGGAAGGTTTCCCTGCTGGCTCAGGCAGTACAGAACCTGCCTTCAATGCAGGAGACCCAGGTTCAATCCTGGGGTCTGGAAGATCCCCTAGAGAACGCAAAGGCAACCCACTCTAGTCACTTTGTTGGAGAAATTCATGGACAAAGGAGCCTGGAGGGCCACAGTCCATTGCATCACAAAGAGCTGGACACACCTGAGT